AAAGGTTAAATCTCTAAGTTATGTACAGCTCTCAACATGATGGTTTTCTTGAACACATCCTATGGCAAGCAAGCTTTCCAAACTGCCAGGGAAAAAATATACCTGATAAAAAACACACCCTGTATAGTGAAAAGACAAGTTTATTTGAGCCTGAAGAATATTAAATGAGCAAGAATGTAACTGCAATAAAAAACAGCTGTTGAAGGCTGTTTATGGTCATTAACATACTCATTTTATTTCAATTCCAAACCTGCAAAATCCTATTGCTAACAGTAAAGCAAGACCAAAGCAAGTAAAGAAAAACACCTTCATCAGAAACAGCAAAGATGAGGAAAAAGAAGAACACAGAACAGTTTACTTCTTCCCTCTGGCAAGTCTTCTCTTTTTCTGCAAAATCAATCAATCCCCACCTCCCTGACACTCCTTAGAACACACGTGCAAGCGCCTCACAGCACTCCCAGCCTGGGGCACAGTGGCAGGAGCAACACTCTCTTCTGTGGCTCAGTCTCATCATCAATAGTCACAAAAGTCTATGTGCTTTTCACAGCACATCTGGGCAGCTTTGAAGTGACCATTTATGGTACAACAGATCAGGGGATTCTTGCTCAGTGCTGCAGATCTTTCTGCAGAAGACTGTTTCATGATCTATCTCAGACACTCCAGAAGCAGCTGTGCTTTTCTAAATTGTTTAATCAATACATATTTTAGATGGTAGGTTTAAAATAGTATGAGTTTAATATAGAGTGTTGGTTTCCAGGGATTGAATGGGGTCTGGACTGATCCCATCTCAACACACTTGAAAAAAAACAAAACAAAACAAAACAAACCCAAACAAATAAAAAAAACCAAATCCACTGTCTGGTTTGCATGGCTTACAGAAAGCAAAATCTTAAGTTTGACATTGGTAGATATTTTCTTTGTCCAGTACCTGGTTTTTCCAAAGTTATCCTCTAGTACTGAAGACTAGATCTATCATGCATTGTTTCTGCTCCAAATTCCTTTATTTCTGCCTTAGCCATAAGGAAACGACAGAGTAAGATCTAACATGGTGAACTGATGACGCTGAATTTTTCTTGAATAAACTGAATTATGCCCATATTTACAAGTGCTACTGTGGCTGCTCAGAACAAGCTAAAAATGGCCATGGTTGTCATCCCACTTCTTCAAACTTAGTCCTAAAACTCTTGACATCCCAGAGTGCTTTCTGAAGCATCTGTATGTAAAGCAATGAGCCATACATGTTTTCAGAGCTCTGCTGTTTTAGTTAAATGGGTTCTGGTTTTCCCTTTTCAGTCTTAATTATATGATGTTGATCCTATTTTCACTTTTCCACAGTGTATTTGGCTAGTAGTGTTGCAGTCCCTTACACTACAATTCTGAATCCCTCTTTCAGCTTAGCAGTTATTGACTTGCTGTTTCTTTATCTTGCATCAGCAGCATTACAAAATTAAGTCAATAAGCACAAAAAGTTAATATGTATTCAAGTTACAATCTATTACACAACTTGCACAATGAACTTGGGAGGCTGGCAAAAATACAGGATTGTTTTCATTAGAGTGGGTTAGTCTGTCTATTTGGTTTTGTATGATACATCAACAAAATTCTGCTGTGCAGCCCCAACAAGTAAAAGGAGCGATTCTGCTGTGGCTGACTTTCTAGCTGTTGTCTAATCACCATGTACTGAACCATATAACTCCATTTTGAAAGGTATTCAAACAGCAGCCATCTCAGATAGACCAGCTCTTTCTGAAATGAAATATGGCTTTAATGGCTTCATTTGTGTTTGGGGTTTTTTGGTTTTTTTCTTCCCAAGTTAAGACAGCATCATAACGAAACAGGCATTTATTGAATTTTGTCATTTATACAGCAACAAAAGGAACCCCCTATATGTAAACAAATAATATAAGAAAGATACTGCTGATCCTTTAATCACAGAAATACAAAAGTCCTTGCATCTCACTTCACTTTCTATATTGAACCTACAGTATTTGAAAAACAGTTACCTGTTAAATTATTATCTTCAAGCTATTCTGCTGTACGCAGCCAAACGTACTCTGCAGACACTGCCACAGGATACTCACTAGTTTATACACAAGAGGATTTGTTTATAATAGTAGCTCAGTCATCTGGGAAACATGATCCAGTCAAATTATAGCACATTATTTTGTCCAATCAAACAAATCAGGAAGCAAAATGAACATAGGAACAGAAAAAAGAACTTAAACTGCAAATAACATTAAGTTGTATAAATCTTGGGTTATAACCTATTAGCCACTATTTTGATTTCACACCTTTTGGAAAAGCATGTTTCAAACCAAACATGAAAACTATGTGTTTGTTTGAGGGTCCATATTGCACCACATTGGCATCTTAGTTTAAAATCCCCATTTCCAGCTGTTGTTTTGCTGCTGGCCGGGCAAGTTACAGGGTCAGCACCTGTGGGTCATGACAGCTGCAGCACAGCCTGGATGTGCACACTGCACGCTCTAACACCACCAGAGGCACATCTTGTCAACTTCCACCCCATCTCACAAGCAACTTGCCTTCTTATTGTTTGTGGACCAAACTGCAGTGGCAAGCAACTGTAGTGCCTGGGTGAGTTACAAAGCAATGAGGTTCACCCAGTGTCCTGCCAGCACATACCCAGCAGCCCTCTTTCAGAAACACTGACAGCTACTGTGGCTGCATCAAGGAAATTCCATACAAACACCTCATCAGCCAGGAGTACTATCTTAAGACTAAAAGCTTAAGAAGAGGGTTATATTGCAGGGAACAGTGTTGGCTCCAGATGTGCCCCCATCTGGCAGAGGACATAGGTACACAGTTCCCACTGCAGTCCATGGGGCACAGGTGTTAAATACCATCCTGAGTCAGTCCTGCAATGTCCTTTTCACATACATAATCCATCCAGACACTGCTGGGAATTCAGTCAGAGCATAGCCCTCACTAAACAAGCAGGGGCAGGGGTTCTTTTGAGTGTTCAGCCTCTAATACACTTATTATTTAGTTTCTGCAAGGGGAAAAGAAACCAAACCCAGAAAAGAGGCCAAAAATACATTGCTATTCAACTGCTCACCACTGGGCAGTACAGAATCACAACAGACTTGAGAAAGGGATACACAGAGGGACACATTTTAGCTGTGCTGGCAATATCTTTCCAAAAGAGTAATTCATGGTTAAATGGCACTGTAAACTTAATTTGACACTGTGAAGAGCCTTCACTAGTGACATACTTCAGTCAATTATGATACCACTCAACTGTGCACTGTTGACCAAGAACACTCTGCCTAAATTTACACAAAGCATCATAAGAAATCATTATCCAATTTGCATGAAAGGAGTTCATATAGCTTTTCCCTTTTCTCTAGCCATACCAAGATACATTAATTATCCTTCCATAGAAGGGTAGATTTTACTCATTTTCTTAAGCATTGTAATTCACATATTCATCTGCAAAAAGCAAGCCTCTAGAAATCATCAGACCTCACACAGGCTTCAGGAATCTCTTTCACATGAAGGTCCTGCAAAGTTAAACAATTAAATCAGAAAGCTCAATAAGGGCCAACAAATCAGGCACCTACATGTCAATTTTTGTCCACAATGACAGCTTTTGCTTAGAAAAGGTAAACCCACTGAGGAAGTGAACAATAATTGGGTAGAAAACTAAAGCTTTGTCTATGTGGGGCATTTCAGCCCTCACTTTTCAATTTATATATTCTGAAAGCAAAAGGATCTAACTCATCTTCCAAGGCATAAACCAGAGCACGTAAAATGTTTTATACCTCTTGCCAAAGTAATGCTCAATATCTTCAAAAAAACAACAAAATTACAAAACTCAACCATCAGTAACCGTCCTTCCATCCAAATCAAGAGCCTCCACTGCTCACCACTTTCCTTTGAGCTTCTTCCATATCTGTCCCCTTGGAGAATACAGCAGACTCATAACCCATTTTATCAAAAACTCTCATCCTAAGCTTCATCTTGAATTTAAAATAATTCTATGGGTCTGACCATAGCAACACTGTTTCAGAATAATCTGAAGCACTCCATTAATAGTTTTACTATTTAAGTGGCTTTCATTCTTCACTTTGCCAACAAAAAGAAACTTTGAGAGATGAACGATGTCTAGAAATGTATGCACTAGCTGAGCAAAGATTCCCAAGAGTGGTCAGTGCAGACTAGACTCCTGAAGTGGTCAATGATAAAGGATTACAAATCAAGCCAGAAAACATTCCATGGCACTACAACATTTCACTGAGTCACAACAATTTATACTAGTTGAAGAATTAAGCTGATAACATTCTAGTTCAAAAACTAAAACTAAAATAGAAAGCACAGTACCAGAAGTCACTGTGCTGTAATTTCTACAATTTACAACTTGTTATAGCTGTTACAAAGCTATAAGGTACATTAATATGATGTGCACTTCCATTGCCAAATAATTAAATTTAAATAATTTGGAAGACTGGTTGTCAGAAATCACAATTTAGATTCAAATATAAATTCTGGTTTTCATATTATGCTATTTTACTAGCACCATTTTTTTTACTGACTTACTTCTATTTTCATCATTTGGCATCTTAAATCCTACTTGTTTCAAAAGTTTACTCAAGTTTAATTTATTTTACAAATATCAGTGTGACAATCTTCCAGAAATTCCTCAGCTGACACATATCTGCTCAAGACCCATCTACAACAGAAACAAAGCCAAGTGTGAACGTAATTCTGTGTTACAGAACAGAAAACATGTCCACGCATCTCATGTCAAGTAATTGACAGCAGATTGCACCAGGGTCTGCAGTACACTTGCATCAAGGACACTTCATGATAATATTATCTGCACTGGTGCAGACATATCAGTGACTCCTGCTGGTAGTGGTGAAGTCAAGCATTAATGTCACAAACTGGGGTGGAACACCCACACTGACAGGTCTTGGATGATCTCTGCTGCTACAGTCTCCCTATTCTCCTTCCAGCCATGAAGCATCTGAAAATCCTACCCTTCTGAGCTGAGCTGCACCAGCCTTCAGAGCCACCCACTCCTCCCTGCCATCCTCTCTTGTCCATTGTTCTGCTACCCAGCTGACTGTGGAACAGGTCATCTGGTCACATAACTGCACGCAATCCAACGGGAAATACCCTGATTTAGAACAAAATTCAGTCTTCTTACCCAACAGCACGTAACTCAAGCAAACAGCTCCTGAAGGCAGAAAGAAGAAATGATGAAGAGCCGCCGCCCAGGCAGCCAGCTGCAGAGCAGACATTCAAACTGGCTCTCTTACACAGGAGCAGGCAGCATTCCCAGTGCCAGACCTGCACCAACCACATGCTGCCTGGGAATTCTGAATGGGGATCTCCCAATGGGGAGCCCAAGCAGCACAGGAATTTTTCCACTCTAATTACAGCAATAAGTAGGAAGATACTCATTTTACCACAAAGTTTCAAACAAACAAAACCCCCCATGATCTTTTTATCATAGTTCTTTTCAGCCAAACGGTGGTGATGACCTGAGCAGGAAAAGCAAATCAAAGTTACAGCAACTTTTCACATAACTCAGCTGCTGAAGAGTTGCTTTAACATTTTCTAGGTATTAATTTACAAACATAGCAAATAGACACACCCTTAATCGTAAAACAAACCTCCTCTTACAGGCACGCTATCAACCAAGCTCCTTCTGAGTCAATTTCCCAAGTATGCAAACTTTGTTTCGCAAGCTGTCTCCAGGAGTGAAATTTTTGTTATACTTACAAGAGACAGCATGTAAAATCAATACAGCAAACAGCAACAAAACTTTGAAACTGCAAGACAGAAGTGGGAGCATGGAAGGAAAAGTTGATATCTTTACATTTCATAGCCATACAGAAGATACTTCCTCAAAAGATTTTAAAGAGATGGTTTCAAACTGATCTTACATAACTTTGTTCCTGCAACTTCAATCTTAAAAGAACTTTCTTTCCCTTTCTCTTCTCTTTTTTAACTAGATTGCTAATAATAATACTGCAGAAGTTAGGCTAAAAGTCTAACTGCAAGACATGTACAAAGTTGAGTGGTTTCAACTCCCTCAGTACTGCAACAGCATCCACATGAAGAAATACATTATGGAATGGTTTAGTTTACATTTAAAGACAGAAAACATTAATAGTCATTTACAGTACCTTCCAAATAACTTTGCTAAACAAACACTTTTATATTCTTTCTTCCCAGTATAAAAACTGCAGCTAATGAGGCTCAAATCAGAAATCTGAACTGACATAATAAAAAACTTCAACTCTATCTGTAGTGCATGAATTGCAGCCACATAAGTATTATTTCCAAGCTATACCCATTCTACTAGAGCTGTACCAATTAGTACTTGTGCTAAGCTTTAATAATATATTACTGAGCAAGAGTTATACTCTGCCGGTAGGACAATGCTAACTTAACTTTGATTTATTAGCACTCTTATTATCTCCTAATAGCTTTCCAAGATCTCTAGAACAACATGTCAGAACATCTAAGTATTTTAAAGTGAATTTTAAAGTGAATATTAACATATAAATTAAGAGGCAAATACTAAGCCAATGTATTGACACATAACATTGAAAAATCAATGTGTCACTTCAAGAAAACATAGAAAATATTTCACTGAGAAAAAAACAGCAAAAGACAGAAAACAGAAGATCCTTCATAGGATAAAGACAAATGCTCCTCTCCAAAGCAGTCAAATAATTAAAAACTTTTATCCGTACTAGATGTTGTTACAGACTGCTTGGTTACCCAAATTAAATTTAATTTAAATGTATGATGCCAAATTAATGCTTAATTTAAATGTATTGTTCTGAGAGACTTTGCTTCCATTTCAAATGGCCACTGCTGGCATACACATGTCAAATTAAAACTTAAGTAATATTACAGTAAGATAATATAATGGGGGATATATTTTTTATTTCCTTATTTTAAAGGATAGTAAAAAAAATTGAGAAATGTATCTAAAAATCACAGAAACACAAAAATAGGTGTCGCTCTAATTGTTTCACTACTGTGCTACACAGAGCAGTAACACTGCTCTTTTACTTTAGAAAAACATCAGTGCTATAAGATAATTAAATTCTTTCTACTGCCAATTAATATGTGACTATCACTAGCTTTGCTTTACCATACAGAAAGCAGTTACTGGGTAGGAAAGCTATAAGCACACAATGCCTATCTTTAATTGAATGCATTTGCCAGTATCAGTTCCAGATAAGCCTTCCATGGTTTCCAGCAGTTTTATCCACCACAGAGAGCACTGCCACCTTCAGTTCTTACCGCTGGCTTAATTGTTTACCTTAATGAAACAGATATGCCATAAAAGAATTGCAGTTGAGCAACCCTGAGGGGCATTGTGGTTCACTGTATATCAGACATCCTTGGACAACAAAAATTCAAAGTCATGACTTTCAGCTCCTCCTCCATGACTTCTCATTGGTCATATTGGAAGACTTGCAGAGGTAGCAAATGAAGTGTTTTCAAAAGCAATTCAGTTTATTGCTGAAAAAGGACTAAGTGGACCAATGTATCATATTCTTTCCCCTTCACCTAAAGCAGCATTCTGTGGCACAAAGTCTAACTTTGACATAATGTACTGGATCAGAAAACTGAACAGACTTCAAACCCTTTCAAGTTTTCTAGGAATGTGCTACATTAAAATAATAGGTTACTTAGGGTTGGAATGAGATAGAGGCCAAAGCAAACTTTAACCAGGTGATTAACCTGGAGTCTTTGCAGGACTTCTTGATGGCTGCAACTCAATCAGCAGGGGATTAATATTTAATTCATGCCAATGGGTTACTGCCTGAACTTGTACTGCACTGGCCTCAGCCAAGACAATCATTGGAAATACATCACACTTGCACAAATTGGCCTAAATTTTGTGAATAGTTTAGTAATTTTACAGCTTATCTTTATAGTTACAAAGAGAAAAAAAGGAGCAATGCTCAAGATACAAAAATCAACCTAATTTCTTCCTCACAATGAATCACACACCCAGTGTTACAGGTATGGGTACACGTGGCATCACTTACTAGCATCTTCATCTGGACTTGGTATATTTTCTCTTCATCCTTTTCTGAGCCTGCAATTGACTATTTTCATTCTCCTTATAAAGTCTACTGCATTCCAAAAACTTTCAGTGACAAACTCCATCAGCTTTTGCTGGTTTGAATTTTCTTAGTTCTACTGAAGGAACAAATACAACAAAATTTTACAACTATGTATAAAAAACTCGAGTAAGGAATAGTATGAATTGTTTTTACTCAGAACAAATACTTCACTTGGGTCCTTCCACTTCTAGTGTTCCTCAACATCACCTCACAAAGTCCAGCATACTCCATAAAGGTATCAGACATTTTTTAAACAAAATAAGTATGTTCAAGATGCTATTGCTACATTCATTTCAGTCAGGACCATGGAAGTAGCAGTAACTATCAAATAGGTATTTTTCTGCTTTGCAAATTTAAGAGGTAAAGAAAGCAAAAGATACCAAAATGGTATTCAGGTGCAACAATAAACACATTAATAATTTTCAACCATTTCCTTGTCTTTCAGGGTTATACATAACCCACTTATTCAGGATAAATATTATAACATCTCTATTTTTTCAATTAAAAAAGAATAAAGTAAGAGACAGAAAGCCAAAATTTATTTTTGCCCATGAACATTAGTGGGAAGTGAACACAAACCTTCCTAACCGCCCACACAGTCCTATAAAAACATCTCAACTTCTTTAAAGCACACAAGGACATCCAGCTGCCTTCTGCTTACAGTGAATGTTCTTTTTTATTCCCGTTTGGTCTCTTTCAAACATTTCCCGATAAACTTTCAAAGCCAATCTCTCCTCCAACTTTGAGTACTAAAAATTAATTTCTTCCAGGCAGATGGTCAGGTTTTCTGAGACAATGAATTCACACTTCCCACAGTTTCTAATACAGCTGTAAGTTCCTGGCACATTTTAAAGACATGCTACTAACAGGGTTCATATGATGGATACTTACTACACTAATAGCAATATCCAATTAGCTGCTCTCCTGAATGGATTGACAAGACCAGCTCCTGCTAGGCTACATTCATTGCAGCCAAACATGCTACACTGCATTATATCTAACACTGGCTTAACTGAAAGATATTCTTTTGTGAGTTTTGAAGAAAGCTCTGCCAATACAGCTCAATATCAAGGTGAGCACAGAAGTACTGGGAATGTCCAAATAAATGCATTTTTACTTGAGGAAGTGCTTGTGATACTCTTTCATCTACTTCCTCCAAACTTGTCCTCCATTTTAGTAGATATCAACATATTCAGAAATATGGGTATTTCTTAATTTTACTCACATAGATACATGAATAGATAGATCTACAGATATATTGATCAGATATTCCTACTAAATATGGTTATTAAATCTCACTATCAAGAACATTAAAAAAAAAGAAAAACAATAACTGAAAAAGCAAAGACTTGCTGGCAGCCCTGAGTAGGGTACTTGTTCAACCTTCCCACAGAATCGACCCTTGTGGGAATGAGAGGCTATTAGGGAATAAAAATAAACCCACTCACTTGACGATTTAATGCAGTAGGTCAAGAAAAAGAAAAGTATGTGTAATCCCCCATCGAAGCCCTCTATACTGAAGAGCTTTCACTAATTGAGCTGGAGACTCTTCAGGACAGGTAGAAAAACTCTAACAGATACACTTGCATGCACACTCAATTATTTGTCTACTTGGTTTTGCGAGTTGTTGCAATTAGTCTTACTTCCAATCTAGTGCAACCCACAGCTTCATTATTTGTGTTGGAAAGGGAATTCTTTTTGCCCTCTTGTTGTGAGGCTCAAAATTTCATAACTAAGTGGCTTGTAGAGCTTTTTTACAAGGTTACAGGAAACCTTTTCAATAACTTCACATTTACTGAAGAGAAAAGCTACTAAGTCCTGCCTTCTCAAGTGTGATTTGAAACATCCAGACCACTTGTTCCACTGCAATCTTTTTTCTTCGATGGTTTGAGGTCCACGTAGGCAATGTTCTATTTCACCTTTGTGCACAGAAAGGTACAACAAGGGAATGTTTTTTACAGGAATATTGCAGGCGATAGCTCTGCTAACTCTCCCATAGTTCAAAGTGGAGGTTTTGCATTCTGGTTAAGGAATTTGATCAGCCCCTGCACACTCACCTTTACTGCTATGATTATTGCTACCAGGCACATAGACAGTAAGAACACCCTTCCCATCTGCTGGCTTGTAAAATGAGGGGCTAAATGCAGATTGTGCTCCCCCTTGTTCATTTTGAGTGAACATTTTATGGTACAAGGTATGTGAATTTTACATTTAATGAATATATTTAAGACTATATGTCAAAGATGACGATAAGTTGCTATCTAAAAAACACACTGCCTTTTCAGGCTAGGTCTGCAGGAGAAGAAATCAGCAGCTGCTGAGCTCAGATAGGAAAAGTGCAACAGGTGGCTTAGTAGAGAGGGTTTGACAAAGCAGGCAGACGAGTAACAAAAGCGAGGTTGCTAGAAGGGAATCACAGTGGATTGGGGAAGAAGGTACAAAATCACTTACGCAGGAATTGGTCTGTGAAGAGTACCTCAGGAATGAGACCAAAAATGCCTGGATTATATAGGCAAAACCAAATTCACAGTGTGCTTACACAGCACAGGCCAAGACAGTGATTTCTATGGCAATATTTGCCAACAAACTGAGGAGGCAAGGCGGAGGTCATGGCTGTGCTACCCAGGGCTAGAAAAAGAGATGGGCCAAGCAATGTTATGAGCAGCCCAAGACTCGAAAGGAACTATCCAATAAACAGAAAAAGGTACGTCCCATGCTGCTGAAGTGAGATAGTACCTGCAAGAAGTACTCACTTATATATCCTAAAGCTTAGACAGTGTTAGAAGAAACTCTACTGCATAGCATATATTGTACCAATATACACTAGAAGAGCATCAGAACACTTGAGTCTTAATTTTGCAGTATGAAAAGAATTAAAGCAGCTCCAGAACAAGTTTTAAGTATTACTTCCTTAAACCTAGCATTTGGCTGATAAGGATACGTTTCTATTCAAACGCCCCAAAAAAGCACAATTGTATAAATTTATAATGGAATTCAATTATGTTTTCAGCTATTCAGGCAGCTCTTGGGCAACTAGTTCGCAACACAACAGTACTGAAGTTCCCCAGGCTTCGAGAGAAGAGGCTCCACAGCACATGAGTACAAACCACAAACACCTGAGAGCCTCCGGGACACTGGCCCTGGCAGAGGCCACCCCGGCTGTCTGCTCGGTGCCCAAAGCGCTGGCGGGGGTTTCCAGAGGCGAAGGTGCCGGGACAGCCCGGCTCGGGCTCCGCGGGCTGCGTGTGCGAGGCTGATCCGGACCCGACGGCGAGCCCGGAGCCGCCCCGGGACAGCGCGTGGTTGTGCAAGAGCCCAGGAGCGGGCCCGGGCTGCAGCAGCGGCAAGCGGCGGTAACTCACCCGAGTGCGAAGCGGCAGCGCTCGGGCCCGCCGGGGGCAGCGACTCCAGGCTGCACCCGGCTCGGGCAGCCCCTCCGGCACCGGCGCCTCCCCAGCCGCTCCCTCGGGGGCGGCTCCGGCCCCTCGCCCTGCCCGGCCCTCCCCGCGCTCCCGAGGCTGCGGGCGGCGGCTGCGGGCGGCCCTCGCTGACCCCGGCCCGGCCCCCGCGGGCAGCGCGGCCCCGCCCCTACCGTGACTCAGCACGTTCCGGGGGGCGGGCCGGCGCCACGTGCTCCGCGGGCTCGTGACGGCCGCCCCGCCCCTCGCCCTCACGGCCGGGCCTGCCCGGGCCGCGGCACCGCTCTCACCTGCGCGGCGGCCGGCGTCTCGATCTCCATGGCGCGGGGCTGGCTAGGAGAGGGCCGGCTCGGCGGGGCCGGCACAGCGCGGCGGCGGCGGCGGCGGCGGCTGGCCCGGC